CATGTTTGGTGGGACGGGGATTCGAACCCGCGATCCTCAGATTGTGAGTCGAGCACCCTAACCACCTGGCCATGCCGGGCCTTTTTATCTAATTTAAAAATATCTGAAACGTTTATTCAAGAATCAAGGGAATGTTTCTATTATTTACATGCACAAAACGTTAGAAAACGTATTCTGCATAATGATACATTTATCTCTCAGCACTCGTGTGTACTATACTGACAGGAATAATTCACTTTTATGAATTCTACAATATTTTCGATTGCTTTAAAGTGAATAAGTATTTAAGTTTTAAAGATACGTATCCATGAGCCGGTTCGATATTTTAACAAACTGAAACTTGGTTTTCAACCAGAACGACACGTTGTGCGCATAGGAGGTTAAACGGCCAGGTCAGAGACCCGTAGGATTCGGGTATAGCTGTTACCGATTCTCAACTACCGACCAGAAGAAGGGCAGTCAGTCAGTAGCACAACCACCATCATTCCAGATATTTCGGCCGAATAATGGGATTGATTGTCGCTTTTATAACGCAACCAAAGCCGTTAGTGCGAAGTGTGTTTAGCGGCATCACGTCTCGAACTGCGGATCCTATATTTCTTGACTCGACGAGCTAGCCACTTGGCCACTTCCAGCCCTCTTTCAACAATCAATATGAGAATGGTTCTAAAAGAACAAAAATTGTTTTACTGTCCAAATAAAAGTGAAACATATCTTCAGTGAAGAACTTTCAAATGTAGTAGCTTATAATTTCAAATTATTTCCTGGGTAATAGCTCATATAAATGTGTTCGAGTTGTCAAAATACAAAAGCAAAATACCATCCCCCGTGTGTTCATTTTTTTCAACTGACAACAGTGTCATGCAAAATAAACATTTGTACAGGGGCAACCCCAGAACCCAAAATTCTTCTGTTGCACGCTACCATAAACGAATTTGTTAGTTTTGAGTTCTTGTGATTTACAAAACAAAGACACATTTGGCCACAAATTACAAATTCCTTGCACTTTTTACATGTAAAGAACAACGTTCAAATTAAAATGCATATTAATTCATAAATAAATAGCATCATATAGTATATACACATTTTGCCCGAATTTTTACATTTTTTTTAAATATACTGTTTTCGGTAGAACGTATAATCACAGAATGTGTTTCAAGGTAAGTTTATCACCATTCTTGAAAAAGTAAAATTGTCACTATCCTTGAAAAGATAAGATTATCACCATTTTTGAAAAGGTCAGATTATCACCATCCATGAAAAGGTAAGATTATCACCATCCATGAAAAGATAAGATTATCACCATCCATGGAAAGATAAGATTATCACCATCCATGATAAGATAAGATTATCACCATCCATGAAAAGATAAGATTATCACCATCCATGAAAAGATAAGATTATCACCATCCATGAAAAGATAAG